AAATTGAATCTGTAATAAAAAGTCTCCCATCAAAGAAAAGCACAGGACCTGACAGTGTCATGGCTAAATTTTACCCAACACTTAAAAAATTAATATCAATCCTCCTCAAACTCTTCCAGAAAAAAAGAAGAGAATAATTCCAAACTCATTTTATGAGGCCAGGATTTCCTTGATATCAAAACCAGACAAGGACACTACAAGAAAAGAAAACTAGAGGCCAATACCCTTAAATATAGATTCAAAAATCCTCAGCAAAATACTAGTGCACAAACTTTAACAGTACTTTCAAAAGATAATTCACCATGATCAGGTGGGATTTATCCCAGGGATGCAAGGATGGTTCAACATATGTAAATTAATAAATGTGATATATTATATTAACAAAATGAAGAACTAAATATATATGATAATCTTAATGTGCAGAAAAAGCATTTAATAAAATTCATTCTTTCATGATGAAACTCATGATTAAAACTCATTCTCAATAAAGGAGGTATAGAAGAAATGCATCTTAACACAATAAAGGCCATATATGACAAACCGATAGCTAACATCATCCTCAAGTATAAAATGTTGAAAGCTTTTCCTTTAAGATAATGAACGAGACTAGAATGCCCACTCTTGTCACATCTATTCAACATAGCATTGGAAGACCTAGTCAGAGAAAATAGACAAGAAAAAAATATAAAGGCACCTAAATTGGAAAAAATGAATTTAAATTCTTTATTTGCAGGCAATATGATCTTATATATACAAAAACTCTAAAAAATCCACCAAAAAGCTCTTAGAACTAACAAACAAATTCAGTAAAATTTCACGATACAAAAATTAGTAATGTTTCCATACACTAACAATGAACTATGTGAAAAACAAATCAGAAAACAATCCCATTTACAATAGCTACAATAAAATGAAGTAAAATACTTAAGAATAAACTTAACCAAGGAGGTGAAGATCTCTGCACTAAAAACTATGAAACATTGATTTTAAAAGTTAAAGAAGACACAAGTAAATGGAAATATGTCTCATTTATATAGATTAAGGAAATTAGTATTTTTTAAATGTTCATACTACCTAAAGCAATGTACAAATTCAATACATTCCCTGCGATTCCAATGATGTTTTATCACAGAAATAGAAAAAAATCCTAAAATTCATATGGAACCACAAAAGACCAAGTGGCCAGAGCAATCTTGGGCTAAAAGACAAAAGCTGGGAGCATCACACTATCTGACTTCAAAAAAAGTACAAGTGATGGTAATCAAAACAACACGGCACTGTCATTAAAACAAATACATAGACCAATGAGACAGAATAGGGAGCCCAAAAATAAATCAATGCTTTTAAAGTCAACTGATATTTGACAAAGGTGTCAAGACCACACAATTGGAAAAAGGCAGTCTCTTCAATAAATTATGCTGGGAAAACTGGATATCAACATGTGGAAGAATTAAATTATACCCTAATTTCATATCATATACAAAAGTCAATTCAAAATAGACCAAACACTTAAAAATAAGACCCCAAACCAAAATATACTAGAAGAAAACATGCTCAGAGATGTTAGTCCAAGCAATTAATTTTTTGGCTATAAACCCAAAAGCACAGGCAACAAAAGCAAAAATAGACAGATGGGATTACAACAAACTATAACACTTCTGCACAGCAGCACAGCACAAGAAACAAGCCACAGAGTGAAGAGACATCCTACAGATTAGGAGAACATATGTGCAAACCATATATCTGATAAGGGGTTAATATCCAAAATATGTAAGGAATTCAAATGGTTCAATAGCAAGAAAATAAGTAACCCAATTTTAAAAAGACAAAGGAGGTAAATAGACATTTCTCAAACGAAGACATACAAATGGCCAACAGGTATATGAAAAAAGTTTAACATCACTAATCATCAGGGAAATGCAAGCTAAAAGGGCAATGAGACATCACCTCACAAATGTTAGAATGACCATTATAAAGATAAGTGTTGGCCTGAATATGGAGGAAAGGGGAACCATTGCACACTGTTGGTAGGAATATAAACTAGTACATCCATTATGGAAAACAGTGTAGAGGATCCTCAGAAAAGTAAAAGTAGAACTACCATGTGATTCAGCAATCCCACTACTGGACATATATTCAAATGAGTCAAAGCCAGTATATCAATTAGATACCTGCATTCCCATGTTCAAAGCAGCATTATTCACAACAGTCAAGAGATGGACTCAATCTAAGTGTCCATCAATGGAGGAATGGGTAAAGAAAACATGGTATATGTGGACAATGAAAGACTGGTTGACCATAAAAAAGAATGAAATTTTATCATTTGCTACAACATGGATGAACTTGGAGGACATTATGTTAAGTGAAATAAGCCAGTCATAGAAAGAAAAATGCCACATGATTTCACTCGCATATGGAATCTTAAAAAGGTGAACTATGTAAGTGGAGAGTAAAATGATGGTGACCAGGATCTGGGGCAATGGGGAGGGATGATTGGAAAGACATTGGTCAAAGAATACAAAATTTCAGTTAGATAGGAAGAGTAAGTTCATGAGATCTATAGTACGACATGGTTACTATAGTTAACAACAATATACCATATTGCAGTCTTGAAAAAAAAAAAGCTAAAATAATAGATTTCAAGTGTTCTTATCACAAAAATAACTGTGAAGTAATGCATATATTAATTAGCTTGATTCAGTCATTCATATATATATGAATATATATATGATAGTAAAGCATCATGTTGTACACAATAAATATATACAATTTTGCAATTTTGAAAATAAAATAAAATACTTAAAAGAAACTTTATTTAATTTGACTTCCCTGACTTGTGTCATAGCTGCCCCCTGGGACCTCACATGACATCCAGGCTCCTCACACTGTGGTTTGGAGATTTTTTCTGATCCAGGACACCACTGCAGTCTCAACTCCAGCCACTAACACTGGGATCATGGTGCCCAGAGCATTCCTTGCTGTTTCCTTTGCCTTTGGGCTCTATTCCCTGCAATCCATTTTCCTATTCCATCCCTCCAATTCCACCCACCATTTGCCTAGAGGAGTGCTATCGAGTTCCTGAAAGCCATCTTCCAGCTCATAAGTCACGTCCCTCTCTGCTCCCTCACGGCTCCATATCTCATTCATGTTTGTTTATGTGTTTTATTTTCAGCTCCTGACATATACTAATGCTCAATGAATATTCATCACTAAACATTTTATTATTAGAATAAAATTATACATTTCTCCTTAAAAATAAAGCCAGTACAGTATATCAACATTTAACTCATAAAGAATATATATTATAATGATCGTATTAGTACAAACAACCTTGAACATGTAAAATGAGTAGATAACCTAATATATATGGAATACTATTTATTTAAAACATATGCTTTGGCATTTGTGACAATATGTACAAAAAGATTGGCAAAGATGTTAAAAGTTATTATCCTTGAGTTATGGAATTTATGAGGGATTTCTCTAGTTCTAATATTTTTGGTAAAATTTATAATGTCTGAAATGAATATAAATCATCATTTGTAATACATTGTAAGACAAATTTTGAAAAGAAATAAGTGATTAGGTGGTGATGCTTTAAAATGTTACCGAAAAGAAATAGACCAGGCATTACCCAGCAGCGTTTAGGTTCTTTTGCCTTGAACTAGACTTCCCAGTAAGTAGAGCATGTGCAATACCACCCATTGTCTAAGTGCTTGCATATGCATAAGTTGAATGTTCTTTCTTCGAATGCATGAAGAAATCGAAACACAGAGGAGGAAACTTGCTCAATGTCACTACACCAGTGAATTGAAAAGTCAGGACTTGTACCCTGGACGTCTGGCTCTTTCATCAACTGCACTGCCACCTCTAGAGTCACTACGCTGTCTTTCTAGATTTAAAGCTTACACGTGGATAAAAGTAGGCAGTTTTCTCATTGCTTTAATTTTACTTTGAAGGCAAAATATGTCAGGTGATGCGTGTATAAATGAATGGCTTGAATTAAATACAACCCTGATTATAACAAGACAAACTCTTTCCAACAGTGGTTTCTATAATGGAGTAAAATATGTTGTTATAAACAAGATTTTGTTATGATTTTGTCAGATTATCACTAATTTTTCTATTGTCTGCACAAATTATTCCTTCATTTTTCAGAATGTCTATAACTGCTGCTGAATGTAAACTGGCTCTTTCAGTCATCTGGAAAATTTTCCCATACAATGTAAATTTAAAGCTGTATTTGACAATCAGTGGAATTGTCCCTTTGCTTTAATCTGAATGAACAGTACATATAAAAGTAAAGAAACTGGCAAGCATTGATGACTATCTGTGGACCAGAATTAGGTGTTTTCATTAAATTATTAAATACCCACAATAATCCCAGAGTAGAAATTGGAAACTCTGCCTTATAGATGGGAAAGTGACTGGTTTCCATTGCTGGAAGCAAGACAGGTCAGGATGAAAATGCAGTCAGCAGTTTTCAAATATATATCAATTTTATTTAAGAAGAACTATCAATTTTATAGCTCTCCAGGTTTAAGAACAACAGGTTTGAAAACTAGGTAAATGAAAGGGGGGGAGAGAGAGAAAGAAAGAGAGAGAGAAGAGAGAAATCAGATAGATAGTTGGTTATAGACCGAATTTATAAGCAGATGTACTAACCTGCACCACCTCAGGATGTGTTTGTACCTGGAGATAGGGTCTTTAAATTGGTGAGTGAGTCAAAATGAGGTCATTCGTGTGGGCCTTAATCCAATAGGACTAGTGTCCTCGTAAGAAGAAGAGACCTCAGGAATGAGCACACACAGAGGAAAGGCCACATGACAGAGTGAGAAGGACCATTTGTAAGCCAAAGAGAGGCCTCAGGAGAACCAAATCGGTCAACATTTTGATCTTGAACTTCCAGCCTCTAGAACTGTAAGAAAATGAATTTGTATTATTTATGCCACCCAGTCTGTAGTAGTTTATCATGACCACCTTTATAAACTCATACAGATAGAGGACAGTAGGTGTGGGGACCCAGAGCGCATAGACCTCGCAGACCTCGCTGGCTTCACACTCACCTCGGTGTCTGCTGCACCTGCCGCTTCTTCTCCTAGGCCAGGAGACCCAGTGGCTAGAAGTTCACCATGTCTATTCTCAAGGTCCATGCCAGGGAGATCTTTGACTCTCGTGGGAATCCCACTGTTGAGGTTGATCTCTTCACCTCAAAAGGTCTCTTCAGAGCTGCTGTGCCCAGTGGTGCTTCAACTGGTATCTATGAGGCCCTAGAGCTCCGGGACAATGATAAGACTCGCTATATGGGGAAGGGTGTCTCAAAGGCTGTTGAGCACATCAATAAAACTATTGCGCCTGCCCTGGTTAGCAAGAAACTGAACGTCACAGAACAAGAGAAGATTGACAAACTGATGATCGAGATGGATGGAACAGAAAATAAATCTAAGTTTGGTGCGAACACCATTCTGGGGGTGTCCCTCGCCGTCTGCAAAGCTGGTGCTGTTGAGAAGGGGGTACCCCTGTACCGCCACATCGCTGACTTGGCTGGCAACTCTGAAGTCATTCTGCCAGTCCCGGCTTTCAATGTCATCAATGGCGGTTCTCATGCCGGCAACAAGCTGGCCATGCAGGAGTTCATGATCCTCCCAGTCTGTGCAGCAAACTTCAGGGAAGCCATGTGCATTGGAGCAGAGGTTTACCACAACCTGAAGAATGTCATCAAGGAGAAATACAGGAAAGATGCCACCAATGTGGGGGATGAAGGCGGGTTTGCTCCCAACATCCTGGAGAATAAAGAAGGCCTGGAGCTGCTGAAGACTGCTATTGGGAAAGCTGGCTACACTGATAAGGTGGTCATTGGCATGGACGTAGCAGCCTCCGAGTTCTTCAGGTCTGGGAAGTATGACCTGGACTTCAAGTCTCCCGATGACCCCAGCAGGTACATCTCACCTGATCAGCTGGCTGACCTGTACAAGTCTTTCATCAAGGACTACCCAGTGGTGTCTATCAAAGATCCCTTTGACCAGGATGACTGGGGAGCTTGGCAGAAGTTCATGGCCAGTGCAGGAATCCAGGTAGTCGCGGATGATCTCACAGTGACCAACCCAAAGAGGACTGCCAAGGCCGTGAACGAGAAGTCCTGCAACTGCCTCCTGCTCAAAGTCCACCAGATTGGCTCCGTGACCGAGTCCCTTCAGGCGTGCAAATTGGCCCAGGCCAATGGTTGGGGCGTCATGGTGTCTCATCGTTCTGGGGAGACTGAAGATACCTTCATCGCTGACCTGGTTGTGGGGCTGTGCACTGGGCAGATCAAGACTGGTGCCCCTTGCCGATCTGAGCACTTGGCCAAGTACAACCAGCTCCTCAGAATTGAAGAGGAGCTGGGCAGCAAGGCTAAGTTTGCCGGCAGGAACTTCAGAAACCCCCTGGCCAAGTAAGCTGTGGGCAGGCAAGCCCTTCGGTGACCTGTTGGCTAAATAGAACCCCTCCCCTTGTGTCACCTCGGGCAGCTCGAGGCCCCGACCAACGCTTGCAGGGGTCCCTGCTAGTTAGCGCCCCTCACCCACCGCCGTGGAGTCCGTGCCGCTTCCTTAGAACTTCTACAGAACCAAGCTCCCCGGAGCCTTGTTTGGCAGCTCTAGCTTTGCCGTCCTGTAATTGGCCCAAATCACTGTTTTTCTCGCCTTACTTTCCACCAAGTGTCTGGAGTCATGTGAGCCTCATGTCATCTTCGGGGTGGCCACAGGCAAGATGCCCGGTGGTTTTGTGCTTAAAATAAAAAGCCTCAGTGACCCATGAGAAAAATAAATAAATAAATAAATAAACTCATACAGATAGAAAAATAGACTTTATATACATATATGTATGTATATGTGTGTGTATATATGTGTATATACATGTGTGTATGTGTATATATACACGTGTGTGTGTGTGTATATATATATTTCAATTATTCTGGATGCTAATTTTGCAGTACCAATTTTTTTTTTTAAATATGAGGTAGGCACTCAGGGAAGAGCACATTTTTATAAGCCATTTTTGCATTGCTTCTAACTGCATGAGTGATCTTTATTGATACATTGCCAGGATAATTTTTGTCAGAGGTTGATTTGTCTGGAAATAATTTAGTTTGCAAATTTTACCTATCTTAGCATCATTCTGCTTGGAGTTTCATCTTCTGAAAACAAAACTTTCATTTTGGTAGTAATAAATAACAGATGTTATTGTTCATGAGCTCTCCTTGGGACTGAAAGAGTTTCCCCTTAGCAATAACCACCACAAAGGGGAGGAGCCTCACATTATTACCATCACAGGGCTTGGTGACCAGTTAGGATCCAGCATGCATTCCAAATTTATGAACATATTTTTGAATAATAAAAGTTCTCCTCCATGGTATGGTAATTGTATTTTAATGGTTACATGCAATATGCATTATTATGGAATTTTTGTTTCTTACATGAATTGTTTGGGCCTGTTGTAATAACTATTCTTTGTTCATTATGTTGCATTTTAACCTAATAATCCCATTAATGTTAATGGAAACTGCCAAGTTAAAACCCATGGAAGCAAATTAATATGCCCTGCAGTCCTTGGACATGACTTTGATACATTTTATATTATTAGTCTCATTCACAGAAGGATTTTATGTTGTTATAAATAGACATAATGAGACTAGATACCTTCAGCAAAAGGGGAATGAAGAAGCTAGCTTGTAGGTTGTTAATTTAGGAACTGTAGAGAGCCGATCCAGAAAATTCAAAAAGGAAGTTCACAGAACATTATGGAGTGACTCAGTGCATTTGCAAAATGTCAGGCTTCCTGCCTATGATTTGGGCTGGATCTCCCATACCTCCAGAGACTGTGACCCTCCTCAGGGTGCCTTCCAAGAAAGCTTGCAGCTCCACTCTGTACTAAGGTCACCATGTACTTTTCTGTTTCTCCAAATAGGATGAGAGCCATTCAAAGGTCTTCACGTGATTTAATTGCTTTTATACATCATTGGATCTAGGACTTAGTTAAGATATAGAGGCTCCTCATGCAGGCTAAGAAGAATCTGACCTTCAGAGTGATATTTTTGAGTCTTTGATCAACAAGAATTCAGAGAACAGACTTGGGGGCTGTGGAAGCAGAGCTCGTGGTGTCCACCTCTCATCTGGTAGACCTCACACAATGCAAGCAAAATACAAGCCAGCAAGTACCTGCCTTCTCCTTAGGAGGTAGGTGCTTTAGCAACATGTGAAAGTTGTCACTGGACCATGTTCTGAGCCAGCTGCCTACTAATCCTGCTCAAACCCACCAGCACACCTCTGGCCTTGCAGGCCATTCTGGAAAACACCACTGAGTCTTGTCTCTTCTCTTTTCCTTTTTTTGTTTTCTTCTCTTTTCTTGTCTTCTCATGTTATTTCCCTTCATTTCTTTTATTGGAAAGGTGAGATAAAGAGCAGTCCAGGAAAAAAAAAGGACAAGGTCTCCAGATAAGGCAGTGGTGATTCAAACACCAGACCCTGCCGTGTGTGTACCACTCTGCAACATGCTGAGTGCTTCACTGCTTGGTCTTATTTAACCTTAAGGAAAGAATGATTTCCCTGTTTTCAACATCAAAGAGAGTAGGTATTGCCATTCATTTCCACCTTAACCTGACATGATGAGCTGACACAGATGGTAAATTGTACCACGGCAGTAGGGTGGCAGCTCAGCAGACCCAGCTCCCAGCAGAAAACATGAGAATTCAGGAGGAGCAAGGCTGGAAGAAGCATTGGAGCTCCTTGTGGGGGTGCTCCTCTTGTGATTTCAGAGACCAAAATAAATGCCCCTTTATCAACTAAGAGGGACTGCAATGTTAAAGAAGCAACATTACCTACACTTATAGGTTGAGGGTTCAGGAATTGACTGACATGATAACTCTGTAAATTCCTATGGCTGCAAGAAAAATCACATGGTTGCTGAACTCCCTAACAATAGGAGCTGTCAGACAAATGATCAGACCTGTCTTAACGCTGACTTACACTCCAGACCACCACTGCAACTGGACAGAGGACCAGCCTGACAAACACCCTTTTCTAACAGGCAACTGCAGACTTAAGTCAATTTCAGCCTGATTATAGAGATTGTGCACAAACTGTCTTTGTGTCCTGTGGTCCATCTTTTGACATAAATAGCCAAATTCCACTTCATTTTAAATCTAAAACCCCATCGGAAATTGAACCTGGGATGTATGTTACATCCAAGTTTACTCATTGCACACGTGCTCAGCTCCTCTCATAAATTAGGCTTTTCCCTAAAACCTGTGGAATATCTAAGACTCTATTGTGTGATATGGGCCCTGTGAGGCATAAAAGCCAACTGCCCTCTCCCTCCTTGAAGAGAGCAACTTTGGCATGTGTGAGAAACTATCTCTTCCTGGTTTACAAACAGATATCACCAGGAAAACTGTCCTTTCTACTCTTTAGCCATCCTGGTGTTCTTTTGGACAACACCTTTTTTTTTTTTTGAGACAGAGTCTTGCACTCTGTTGCCCAGGCTGGAGTGCAGTGGCACGATCATGGCTCACTGCAAGCTCTGCCTCCCAGGTTCACGCCATTCTCCTGCCTCAGCCTCTCGAGCAGCTGGGACTACAGGCGCCCACCACCATGCCCAGCTAATTTTTTTTTTGTATTGTTTTTGTATTTTTAGTAGAGACAGGATTTCACCATATTAGCCAGGATGGTCTCGATCTCCTGACCTCGTGATCTGCCCGCCTCAACCTCCCAAAGTGCTGGAGGACAACACTCTTTATCCATTAAATACTATCTAATGCATCGGTAGCCATTGACTGACCAACGCAAGTAGTATGTGAACATCTCTGTAAATTTGTGAAAATAAATTCACTTTGTGGATTTTTTAAATTATTATTTTAAAATTACCAGCTGGGTGCAGTGGGTCATGCCTGTAATCCTAGCACTTTGAGAGGCTAAGGTGGGAGGATCACTCAGGCCTAGGAGTTTGAGACCAACCTGGGCCACATGGCAAAACCCCATCTCTACAAAAAAATACAAAAATTAGCCCACTGTAATGGCACACACCTGCGGTCCCAGCTACTTGGGAGGTTGAGATGGGAGGATCACTTGGGCCTGGGAGGTCTAGGCTGCAGCGAGTTATGATTGCACCATTGTACTCCAGCCTCGGCAACAAAGCAAGGTCCTGCCTCAAATAATAATAATAATAATAAATAAAATTAAAATTACCAATAATATGTAGATAGTATTTACTATGTGCCAGGCCATGTTCGAAGTTTAATATATTAATTTAATCTTTATAACAATCTTTGAGGTAAATACCATCACACAGCGATTTTACACATGCAAAACTAAAGTGTGGAGAAGTGAAGAGACTTGCCAGAAGCCATAGAGCTAACAGGCAGTAGGACTGGGTTTCAGGCCAGGCAGCCAGCCCAGAGCTGCTATTCCTTGGTGACCAGTGGTCCTGCCCCACACTGGAGGACCTGCCAACGCTAGCAAACCCTGTCTAGTTCATTTCTGGTATCTTTTTAAGAACTTACAAAAGCTGCAGTAGTTCGAATCCTTGAAAGAAAGAGATAAATCTGGGTAAAAAATTAACCTTTGTGGAAATAATTACAGGATGAAAAAACCATACTTTTTATACACTGATATACTTGGTGTAAATGATATATATCTTCTAAGTATATATTTATAATATTAATATCCAGTGTGATATACATATATCTCATTACATGATGTATATTACATATAAAACACATAATCATAATAATTACAAAAATAAGTATTTTCAAAAATAGGTAGTTTCATCTCTTTTTGTCTTTTAATATGAGATATTTTTACTTATAGAAAAAAATATCAAAAATAATTTTTAAAAATTCCTACTCAAACAACCTAGATTTAAAAAATATTAACATCTTACTATATTTACTTTAGATCATTCCTTTTCTTCCTGTCTTTCTCCTTTCATTCATTTCTTCTTTCTTAACTTCCTTTTCTTTTTCCTTTGAAAAAATGGAATGTTACATACACAGATGAGTTTCATCACCCAACTTATTCACCCTTTCTAGAGTTACCTGAAGGGGTGTGTTTACTTTTTGGATATTTTGTTCCTTTACTGCATGTTTGTGTACCTTTAATAATATAGAATGCTGTTTTGTTGTGGCTTTTTAATTTTCCAAGATTGGTGTATGTGTGTGTGTCTGTGTCTAAAATTCCTATTTTCCTACTTTCATTTTAATCCCCACCAGGTACACTTGGGGTCATTGTAGACATGTCTCCCTACTGCAGCCATGGTGGGCACCCAGTTTTTTAATGCATCTCACTTTCCTGTTACAAGGCTGGAAGGCCAAGCCCCTAGTCCTATATATCCCACATTCTCTTCCTACTCCTGGCCCTTCATAATTCAATAGCACTAGGTCTCCAACTCTCAAGTCTGGTTTTAAAGGACTTTATTTCTGGCACCTAAACTTCTCTTTCTTTCCCTTGAACCCGACCATGGATTTTGGTTTTGGTTTTGTCATTAGATTTTATCCAGCATATTTATGTGTTGTGAACAGGAGATATTTTGCAGTAGCTCATTTTACTATGTTACTGGAAACAAAGCCATGTTTCCATTTTTGCAGATGTAAAAATTGAGGCCTGGGGTGATTTGACAACTTCCCTGAAGGTGCTGGAACAAGCCACACTGGCATTTAGCATTGGAGCACAGCTCTGCCTCCAAAGTCCATGTTCTTTCCTCCCTCCCTTCACCTGTTACAAATTGCCTCATTTTAAAGGTTAAATAGTGGTAGTTTATTTCAATTCTGC